GTCTTCGGTCAGCACTTTTGCTGCAGAGCTTGCACAGTGAGGTGGGGGCCTCCCAGTTGTGACTGGAGGGAGGGGGCGGTGCAGGAGGGCCAGGGACTGAGACCTAAAGAGGGCAGGGGCTTGGGGTCCTCATGGTGCCAGGACTGTGGTGCAGGGTTTGGGCGAGAAGATGCTGATGAGGTTGCCCAGGGCGCTGGGCGGAGGAGGTAGAGGCTCAGGCCCACGAGGGCTGCTCTGTGACTGCAGCTGAAAGATGAGGCCCAGCTCCCAGGGCTGAGCGTGGAAATGCTGCCGGGCGGACTCAGCTGGTTGGGTGGCTACGGGCCACAGGGAAGGGACAGGGGTGAGCCTGGGCCAGAGTGGGTGCCGCTGCACCTGGCGGGTATGTGTGTGCCGGACAGAGGTGGGGGAGGGCTTCCGGCCCCCAGGTCCAGAGGAGCCCCAGGCGTTGTGGGTCAGTGGGAGGGACTTCCCAGCTGGCTATGCCGCAGTTCCTGCACCTGCCCCTCCCACGGCTGTTATCTTGTCTCCACAGGCCAGGACCCCCTCCTGCTCCTGCAGGCCCTGCAGACCCTGTGGTCCACGCGGGAGCGGCAGCAGGTAAGTGGACGTGGCTGCCACGGGTGGCAGAGTCACAGCTGGCAGAACTGACTGTTGGGCAGAGACTGGCCTAACAGGAGGCCTCCCTGTTCGGGAAGCTGCACAGCCCCCCACGGCCACAGGGTCCTGCGGTAGTGGCTGCCCCAGACTGCATCCAGGGTGGCCTGTGTGGGGCAGGGGGCGGCCTTCCTCAAGGCCCCAGGGTGGTAAAGGCCCTGCCTGGCCCCAGCAGCCCCTCTGAGGTCACCTCTGGGAGGTGCAGGGTCCACTCATCTGCAGGGACACAGCTGTCACCAGCACTGCCAGGCCTAAGGCCCCATCCTGCCACCGCCAGGGCACCCAGACCCGGGGTGGCCACTGGGGCAGGTGTCCAGGTGTCCAGGGCAGGGAGGCCTTAGGAAGGGGTGGGACTTGAGCAGGGCAGGAGGCTGGGTGGGAGAGGCCGGGGAGAGGCTGCAGAGGGAGGGCCGGCCACCTGTGGGGGCAGATGTGGATTCCGGTTCCTTAGTGGCAATGGCCTGTGCACAGGAGGCTGCCAAGTCCTGAGTGCCGCGTCTGCTGGCCCGAGGTTGCTCCTGCAGGCCCAGGGGACGCCCTCCAACCCCAGCCCTGGCGCTGCCTGCTCTGCGTCTGCCTTCCTCCTGCACCCGCCTCTGCCAGCTTTTGTTTGTCCGACAGCTCGGTGGCTTCTTGGGCCTCCAGCTTGTGAATCTCTGTCCTTGCCTTTGAGATTTCCCTCTGTTCCGTTTCCAGGCTCTTGTCGGACCTTCGTCTGTGACGCTCAGTCTCCCTCGCTCTCTGGCAGCTGTGTGTGCGGTGTGAGCCTCCCCGGGTCCTGCCCTCCGCGCCCCCACGTGTCTGAGTTGTGGGATTCCACCGTCCTTTCCTCCCTATGTCCTGACTGTCCTGACGTTCATCCTGGCGTCTCCTTTGAGCAGCGCTTTGAGCAGACAGGGCTGCAAACTGCTTCAGGCCCCGCTGACAGTCATGAGGCCCTAGTGCGCTTCATCGTCATGGGGAACCTGTGCCTGTGCCCTCACCGCCTCCCTGTGCCCTCGCCGCCTCCCCGCGCCCTGGCCGCCTCCTTCTCATGTTCTTACCGCAGCCCCGCGCCCTCACCTGCTCCTCGCGCTCTCACCTCCTCCTCACGCTGTCACCTCCTTCTCGCACTCTCACCTCCTCCTCGTGCTCTTACCTTCTCCTTGTGCTCTTACCGCCCCCCCCCCGCTGCACCCTCACCTCCTCCCCATGCCCTCGCCTCCTCCTCATGCTCTCACCTCCTCCTGGCGCCTCCATCACATTCCCAGGTTCCAGCAAGCTGGCGAATGCCACCTGCCCAGGGGCCCTGGGTGGGCCAGGAACCTTGAAGATGAGGTCCTTTGGGGTCCTGGGTGCTGAAGAGAAGCCCAACCCTAGAGCTGGCTGCACGTGGAGGTCCTGGAGACCCCCATATGGTGGCATAGCCACCAGGTGCCCCCACAGGAGGGAGATGGAGACCAGGATTTTGGAGAACTCCTTGGGGCAGTCTGCAATATAAAGGGGGTAAATGGGACTGTTGATGGTCTGGGAGGGCTGTGGGTGTTCCTCTAAAATGAGGGGGGAGCCTGTATGCTGGGTGGGTGAGAGCAACCCGGGAGAGGGGCAGGAGGAGGAGGCAGGGCTGGAACAGGGCTAGGGCCTGGAGTAGACGCAGTCCCAGAGTGGGGTTTCCCTGGTTCATTGGACCCTTCCCAGCCCCACTGCCCAGCAGCCTGTGATGGGGCGGT